AATAGGAGACATTAGGAGGACCATGACAATAGGAGACATTGGGAAACTTGGAAGTATTTTGGAGTAACGCTGGCCAATCAGCTATTCCATTAGGCACGAGCGCCAACTATCAGAATATAATTTCCCAGCAGGGGATAATATGTGGATGGGGGAATCAAGCGTTTTTGGTTGTTCATCGTTATGGGGCTGAACAAGAAAAAACTACAGGTGTATGGCCAGCTTAAAGTGACATCAAACCCTCAGATTTTTTAACATAAAACAATACTGTAATGTGGTTGTTTCCCTTCTCTTTGCTGCTCTTCCTTTTAAATCCTCATGTCTTCTCATGCTGGGCAGAACTTCTGTTTTGCAGCAGACTGCCTTGTCTCTGAAATGGATACACGGTGTCTGTGTGCAGGTTCACAACCTGAGCCAGCAGTACAGGAAGAGGCAGTCAGCTGCAAAGGGAAGTAGATGGATTACCATGGATTACAGTAAGGCACACATTACAGTATTGGTTTATGTTAAAAAATCTGAGGGTTTAATGTCACTTTAAGTCAGCTGTTCTTTCAAAATAAAAAGTTAGAGTTGACTTTATTTAGGAAATTTAGACAGGTGTTCCCTGCAAAGCTGCCACTTGAAGATGCTCCAGGGTAAACCCAAAACACCCTAGAGGAATTATAAATACCTGTAAATAGATGGGAATGGACCAGAAATTGTCAATGAACAGAAGTCCAAGCTGATCTACTCAGTATTTTGCCCACATTACAAAAAGAGGATTAAAATGGATTGTGATTGATTGTACCACATTTCTTAATGATATTGTACCTTGACAATAGTGAAACGGCATATAAGACAGCCTCCTTGATTTCAAAACTATATGACTTTCTTTAAATTAGTTAACGAAACAAATCACAAATGAATATAATTTAATATGAGTGCTCTCGTCAGAAGAGCATTGTAGGAAACCACTTTAGTTTAACATGGAAATATAGTTTTAAACACTCTCCATTTCCCTTAGTTCCAGGGCCTCCTTATCATAGTACAACATTAAAAGCATACATTAGAGGCAACTTCACTGCCTAGTGTTCCCAAGGCTAGACAATATAGAGTATATTACAGCATCTGACCTGCAGCTGAGTGTAGACATTTGTCTGTTACATAAGCCTGACACATGAACAAGGGCTACAGTATGGGTTACAGGGTATATTCTGGAGAATGCCAGAGCTGGAGGCTGTTAATGCTGTACAACTCTGGGCAGACAGGGAAGTGAACCTGCATATGAGTTGCTAGCTATTATGAGGAGTTCGGGAGAGGTAGGGCGTTCAAAACACTTTTAAAGGACCACTAAAAATTATTATGCACAGCACTTGTAGTGCCTTCAAAGTATGCAACTTTTTTATGTTAGAGTTAATGGTGCTTTAATATCTGGATATTAATTACTGCTGCTACGTTTTCCACAATATTATTTAGTATTTTGTGTTTTTTTTTCTATTACGTTAAGCTTATTTGGTATACTTTTTTTTTTACTAAGATAGAATATTTATATATATATTACCTGTAGGTGTTTATTATAGGACTGGTCTATGTGTAGCTGGCATATGAGAGGGGACATATGCAGCAATAAGGTGCAAACTTTGTCACTAGTGGTTTTTAAAAACACACCAATAGTAAGATCGTGCTACTAAATGCTCTAGTATTAAATTCATTCCTTGGTGTCAAATGTAAAGCGATTACCAGTCTGCTATTTATCACATGTAATTTATTCTTTTTTAGATTTGCAGACTTAAGTAACAAACGTAAAATGTAACTGTGGATCTGTATAAAAGACCTTCCTATATGCACTCAATATACTGTAGATGGGTATAAAGAGATTAGATGTCTGGTCTATAAACACAGGTCACTGACACTGTAGCGTGAGAAAAAAATCTTAAGTGTATTAATTTTCCTTTCTAGGAATGACATCGAGCTTTATGCATACAAGAGTCTGACGGAGGACACTCATATCCTTGAAACCACTCTGAAGTCCTGTGCCTCTTTCCCACCAGGTGTGGGTGCCAGCAACCTGCTGGTCCCACCAATTTCCCACACTGTTCACATACCAAAGTATGGTATTTGGCTTAAGCAAGTAATGCAAACCAATGAAAACATTTAGACCGATTCACACAGGAAGGTCAAGCTCAAAATGCACTTAATTGTGACGAAAGTGTGTATACCCATCCCATTACATTTTTAAATTATAACAGTGAAGAAAATTAAACGCTAAAGCAATCAAGGAGGTTGGTGAAAAAGAGGGAGAGAGCAGAAAAAGATCACAAGAGGAGAAAAAGGAAGAGAGGTGAGCGGAGAAAAGAGAAGAAGCAGAACTAAACTCAAGAAATTGAGAAGAGAAAAAAAGGGGGGGGGGGGGGGGAGAAAGAAAGCGTTCCATCTGGAAGGGGGGTCTGCCTGGAGCCAGCTCAATCCAGGATGCACAGATCGGTCCTGTACCGGGCATACCAGAGAATCAAGTATGCGTTGTCCCTTCGAAAGCAGAAGATTCGGTAAAAGAATAACGTTTTTCTTAATTGAGATCAGCAATGTTTGGCTTCACTACTTTGGTATGTCTGATGGAGGAGCTTTTTTTTAGTTCCATGGTAACCAGACACTCAGAGAAATATGTTGTGTCCTAGTAAACTGGATTTACAACAGTTATGCACATACCCCGCAGCTGCCCAGCCAATATTAATGTACAGCCATTATGGGTGGACTTTGGCAATGTGATCCACATGAGTTCTTGGCTCAGCGGCTCTCTCACATGTCGTGAAGGCTCAATATATTATTTTCAAACAATGTGTATCTATATGCCTGCGGTATTTTCAGAGATAATACCCAACTATAAGAGTAAAAGCCTTTCTTAATAGTTGCAGAGGGTGGATGAGCCTAGGTACAGAGCCTTCACCACTGGAGTCGCCAAGAGATACAGGAAGCTAACCAGCTGACATCTACTCAAAACTGAAAAATTATCTCTTTAGTTTTTATGCTATTTTATCTGCTTTAAGCACCTGTGCTTACATATTTAGTTGATGAGAGAAGTAGATGCAGGCACAGAAGGTGGCACAGTGATGAAAGTTTTAGTTCAATTTTGAAAGCATCATGTTTAAGACCTGATTTTGTTCTGTGTACTTCAGGTGAGGTATGACAGGCTCAAGTGACACAAAACATTTCTAAACCCAACCACTTTATAGAAAACGTACATTATATGGCTATACCTTAAAGAAACAGAGATAGGGATCAGCTAGTATCGGGGGCATAGTAGTCAGGCTTAAATTAAACTTTTCATAAAGATGGAGGCCATTGAAATACATTTCTGCCTGGCATGCCATCCTACGTGGTTTAATACTTTGAATCACTAACTAACAAATTAACTTTACTCTATCTACATACTTGTCCAAGGTTAGTGACTCAAGTTATTGAAGCCACATGGTCAGCGTAACAGCAAGGCATCTAGTAATAAAAGAAGAAATGGAAGCCCTCATCCTTCCAAAATATTTTCAAGCTGAATTGCAAGCAGATATAAAAGGGAATGCAGTTATGTATTTATTTTATATGTAAAAAAATATTATTAGTATTTTAAATGCAGCTAGTAAAAATTCTGCATATAACTTGATTTCAGTATCTTGTAATTCCCTCTACAGCAGTACTGCCTCTAATAGGTAAAGCAGTATATTGACCTTCTCAGGCATTCTGCATTCTCAGATGCTGGCAAAGAACTTGCTGACAAGAGGAGAGGGCAGAGTGATGATCTCATCAGCCTTTTGCTGCTCCTACATTGTCCAATCACAGGCTGAGGACATGAAGGTGACCTAGAGGTGTTGCTAAACTGCAGCGGAGAAAAGTTGCCTAACTGCAGCAGAAAACTTTGGTCACCATGCTGGCTGTGCTATGTAGTAAAACTGTGTATATCTCAGCAATAGGTGGACAGCAATACAAATCCTATAGCAGGTAACACGGCACCTTATATATAGATTTCAACTATGTATTTAGCTGTTTTCCTAGAGTTTAGCTTTAAAACATTTATAACTGAAAAAAAAGTGGAGTGCCTACCATTCCTACTTGCCATTTTCTCTAGGACTACGGGTATGAAATTAAGTGTAAATCCAACATTTTTAGTATTCATCTGAACAAGAATAGAGGGGAAATCTTCAAAAGGGAACCCTTCTTCTTGTGACATCTGTCTTAAGCTGGCCATACACCTTACAATTATCTGCAGACTTTCTGTGGTCAGATGGAAAAGGTGCAACAGATTCCTCAATCTACACTTAACTGTGTGGATGGAGTAATCTCCACCTGGACCAATCTGTTGCACTTTTTCCATCTGACCACAGAAAATCTGCAGATTATTGTAAGGTGTATGAGCACCTTAAGAGAAGAATATCCTCTCACTTCCTGTTGAGAATACAGGACAGGCAATGAAGGGGGATCTACCTAATGAGAAAGATGGCAAAAAAAAAATGGCAGTGGTTTTAACCCTTCTCTTCCCAATCCAAAATGAAAAAAGTTTACTTACTTTAGATATACTTTAAATGTAAATGTAAGTTAATGTTACTGCTTTTTTACTGACAAGAACTTCCAGCTCTGACAAATGTGCACTATGTTATCTTGTAAGACATTTCCCCAGTAAATACTTTTATATTAAAATGTAAATAAACAACTGCGCAAATTGTTGCAGTTAGGATGAAATTTTGTATCACATGTGTTCATATGTGTTCCTAATGGCTCTTAAAACGAGCTAAGTGCTTTGATAGTTCAATGCCACAGAAATGCTTTTTTTGCCATAAGTAGGTTATTTGTAGCTCTGCTAACATGCCACCAAAACAACAACAACAGTTCTCCTGTGCTGCACGGACCCATCTGTCCACACTGTCCACGTTTCATTATACCAGTCTAAATACGGTGTTCCTTACAATGACTTCCTTCATGACAGTAAGAAATACACTCTGCTGAAATGATCAGGAATTCATGCCCAGAGCATCTTCTCATGACACTTCATTCATGTGACTTAATACCCCGCCTTAGAATGAAGCCACATCTCATTATCAGTGGTTTGCAGAGGATTTCCTGAAGAAATAAAAGAATTCAGACAGAATATTACATTAAGTAGATCTCCCAGCATTTTAAACATGCATTTTTAAATAACAGGATGAAGACCAAATATAAAGCTGCAATCCTGATGGTACTTGACCTTTAGGTGATTGGTGGGTGTTTAAAGTGATTGCGACTGATGAGATCATGCCTGAACCAGATAAGAAGATACGAAGTCACCAGCACAGATAAATGCATATGACAGATTTATTGTGAAAATAGCGCCACATAAGTCAAAAGAATACCAATGTTTTGGGCCTAGCAGGGTTCCTTCCTCAAGGTGACATCATGAAACAGAGAGGAAGATGGTAATTAGCGAGGGATAAGGTAAATAAAACTGCTTGTAATATTTCCCAGGGGATCAGCTTTAAATAAACCTTATATCTAAATAAATAAATGTATTCCTTAACCCCCTTATTTAACCCTTATTTAACCCTAAATAACACTTTCCCCCTTCTGCCCTTTAGATATATTTTTTCTTCTTTTTTTAATTTATCTTTTTAACCGTTAATACTTAAAGTATTACAAAAACCAAGGCGATTTTTACCTCAATGCATTCTCTGCATTAAGGTAAAGAATGCCCAGAACCTTCTAGAAAAATCAGTCAGCCAGTCACAGAAGCAGGATTGACACCATAGGTCACCATATTGCATTGGGGTTTTTTTATTTTATTTACAGTTTTAGAAAAAAAACAGTGCATTGCAAAATAAAACAAATGCTTTTTTTGAGCTTTTTATGGAGATTTGTGGAGCAGGGGTCATGGAGAGACTTGATGAATGTCAGAAATGAATGGCAAGTACACACAGTAGGTCCTTGTATTTAAATGTCTAATTTATGGTTTTAGAAGAAGCCACACTCATGTTATTTGTGTCAAAAACAAAACAACTGCGATCGCCAATTACTCACCTAAATCACAGCCTCTTTTTAATCTGCGCCGGGCAAGTTTGATCTGATCCTGCAGGATTTGTACCCAATGTCGTGGGCCAGGGACCTTTTCCACATTGTTAGCAGCACAGTATTTCTCTGTGAAAACTGACAAAAAGAACATAGCATACTGTAAAGAAAAGCAGATTGATGGAAGGTCTCTTCTACGAGGAGACAGCGACATGCAATTTCTGGGAATAAGCCTAAATGTGTATAAAAACTGCATTAATAATATTGGAGGAAAGTGGCTCAAACTGCTGCACATACAAAATGGTAATGAAGGCTCAATCACTCTGCGGATGAGATGTGTTTGTGCATCCTCATTTGAACTTGCTAATACAAAAGAGCAGAGACAATGCAGCACATGAGTACTAGCTGCAAAGATCAGGAAAGACATGCTCTGCAGTGATTTTAAGAGACACATTATTTTGCCTATCACTGTAGACAATTTTAGAAAATCGTTGGGGGAGATAATGATTTTTTATTGTCTCAAACCTAATATAAATAAACAGGTAACAGGGACACTGAAATACTAACCTTTCCTGCAAAAATTGAGTCCTGGCATACTGGTGATATGATCTTTACTAAAAGGGACATAGGGACTGATGTTTAGGCAGGGCCAGTAAACCAACAGTTCTACCTGAACTTTGATCTTCCTCCTCTGCAAAGATGCAGAGTTTACCCAATTTACACTTATACATTTCTGAAGCTGAATTTAGCTAGATCTCAGTGCGTGCAGATCAGAGTATGAATATATATATTTTTTACTTATAAGGGGCATTTAAAATTAGAATAGTGCTGCCTCTGGGTGTGCATAACTCGAATAGATATGTGCACTAAAATACACGGTGCTCCTGTTTCCATATAGAAAAAATAAGAAACCTGGTACTCACTGGCCTGCAAGCTGGCAGTCTAAGAAACAGAGTTTACCAGTAGTGATGGGGCTTGGTGCCAGCCCAGTCCTAAGCCTGCTTAAAACTGTGACTGACACCACATTCTCGGCCCAATTAGTTCTGGCAGTTGCGACAGGTACATTTCCCACCCCAATTTCCATTGTGACAACAAGCTGCAGGGCCGGGAATACACCTGCTGCAACTGATTGGGCCAGAGGGGGTGGGTGGGGTTGGTGGGATATTGTCAGTCACAGTGTTCAGTGGTCTTGGGCAAACTAGGATCGCACCAAGCCCCAGCTCATCACTAGTTACCAGTAATCATAGACATTTTCAGAGCCTGGTACACAAAATTAATGCTCAGATAAAAAGTAAAGGCTCTATGCAGGTAACCTGTGTCCCCAGTTTAAAAGGCAGTTTAAAAGGCACACTTTTGACTAGTCTGCCTTCAATTAACTAGTACAGGCAGTGATCCCTGATACATTTATAATAACTTGTCAGTGCACGCGCAATCATTTTACCAACATTACACAGTGCCATAGTCCCTGTATATTTCTCATGTTAACATCTCCTGGCTATGATACTGCATGTGTACTTTCTATACAAGTCAAACACCTGCCACATGGAAAGAAAATCATGGATTATGATCATGATAATGTGTACCTTTTATTGCTCCCACAATATTTTGATCCAATCCTTGCCTGTTGTCATTGAGTCCACGTTTCCGTTTTCCATTGGGTAGGGATGATGCCAAAGTTTTATCATCAAAGAAAGCACAGACAAGTTTTCTAAAGAGTAGGCTCCCTGACCTCTTGTAATTGGACAGTATGGAATCGAGCTGGGATTTTGCCATGAAGACGTCAAACCCTTCAGCCAACTGTACGTCTGGCTATCAAAGTAAAAAAAGAATGCATTGAATATAGATATCAAGATGGCTACAATGCACAATTTTTATGCAAAAAGCTTTCAGAAGCACCGTATGATTATTATTATCACATAGTATTTATATAGCGCCAACAGTTTGCGCAGCGCTTTACAATATAAGGAAGACATTACAATCACAATACAATTCAAGACAAGTTGGTAAGGAGAATTATAAGATAGCTTATTAGTTTTACTTTTTCTCTATATCTTCTGTGACAGGACAGTGCCATGTCACTCTGGTGATTGCTGTGCTTGGCACCAAGTACTCTTGGCCAGAGGGGCGGAGAGGGTCCAGAAATTGCATAGTATTACAGGGAAGGAGCTGGGTTTCCAGTTCCTTCCGTATTTTCCGGAATATAACTGGGATCTGGGTCTCTGGAGATTTCTAGGTGTCTTGGGCGGGATGAAATCTCCAGTCCTGGGGCCAGGTGCAGCCAATTGCCAGGCCAGACTGTCCAGGTGGCTGGTAACAGCCCTGTTAAAGTCAGTGAACAGAGAGGAAGAGAAAGGCAGTGGTGCAGTCGGACATGCAGAGTGGGAGACTGTGTACATGTGATGCTGGATGCAGGTGGAACAGCCTGGGGGGCTGGAAGGCTTGGAGAGGCTGAGAGAGCCAGGCACACAAGGTGTGTGGCTGTGAAGTTGAAAGCTGCTCAAGGACTAGCATTCCTGGGAAGAGATTCCCCAGGTTTGGGACTGTATACAAGTCGGTGAGACGTCTTTGTTTTGTTATCTGCGCTGGAGATAAGCACATATTTTGTGTTCAACACTTTCTTCTGACCTGCAAGAGCAAATAAAAAAAGACTTGTGTTTTGAAAAACCCGCCGTGTGAGTGCTCTGTGAGCTCCCCAATATCACACTTCCCAATGTTAATAGACAAGTATAACCTCCTTTTCAGTTTACAAGGTGACAGCATTAAGTACATTTGTTGAAATCTAGGGATTAGGTATTTATCTTGTCTCTTTCAGGGTAAGTTAGCTACTTCTCTAAAGCTAGGCATCTACTACGCTAAAAAGCGCGGACAGAGCAATCTCCATTGCAAGCTATTGTGCTCAGGCAACCACAACACAGCTGCAATCACAACCACGGCTGCCTGAGTACCTGAACAGTGACTGAATCTGATAGGATGCAGTCACTGTGCAGCTGAGAATTTTCAGCTCAGTTCAGTCATTTTTTTAAATTTGTTGATCCGGGTGGTACTGAAAGTTCCACCCACTCCTCAAATTTTGGCCGATTTAGCAGGAATAGGATGAAATATGAAACACATATGCCTAGCTACAATACATCAAGGAAATAATAAGCAGAATCAGCACGTTCTAATTAACGCCAACTATTAAAAATGGATGCAACAATACATATATGATATTTGAAATTACATAATGCAACTAGAGATAGCATGCTGTGTAATAAAATTGGAAGTAAATATATCCCTATAATGGTCTTGTATTAAGTAGATGTAGCAGATCACAAATTACAAAGTCTTCACAAAGCGTCAATATCCAGGGTATTTATGGGAAAGGGAAAATAGTCAGTAAAGGACAAATGCTAATGTTTTTAGCTTTGGTGTAATGAGAAACCGTGTGAAACACATTACATTGATGAAGGCCAAAGCAACTAATTAACCTTTGAATTGCAACTTACATCGGAAGACGACGAGTTGACAACAATACCAAATCCAGGCACATGATTTTCTTCTTTCTTGACGTGCTCTGCTTGTAACAGACCTGCCCTTTCTGGAAGTACCACAGTTTTATGCTCCCTTACGTTCATGCTGTGTACACTATGAACTGGGGTCACCACTGTGTTCTTGGGAATTACTTTCTTCTTTATTATTCGTTTCCTTGATAGAACTGCCTTCTGGGAGCAAACACAAGACTGGGGAATCTGCTGCCGACTTTGTGCTACTGCATAAAAAGATGTAAGAACATGAATGAAAGATAAGCTCATTGTCTAGATGAAGTATGTTGTCAAAATACAAAAATATCTATAGAATACATCCAGTTACTGTATCTTGTCTAGGTGGACACATTAATGTGTAATTTAGGAGGCAACAAATTCAATACATGCAATAGCAGGTTGTTTTAATAGAGCCAGGGAACTTTTTCCATGGATAGTAACAGGGAGGGCTTAAAAAAAATAGATACTTGGCTCCTAGAGTTTGAACATCTTTGAATTACATTAGATATGGCAGCATGATCATTTTATTTTCATCAACATAAATCTTAGAAGTAATTTTATTTCACAGAATTAACAATAGACATTCTAGTTTCCCATTTAGGAATACAGAAAATGTTGATAAATCTTTATTTCTAGCTACCAAAAATATGACAATGCTCTCATACTTCTTATACTGGCCAGCTACATTACATGCATGGTTCCTTAAAAGAGAATTATGGGGTAAGTGTTTTTCCCCATAGTTCTCTTAACACATACTATACTATATATACTAGAGGACATATACTAACCTCCTCTCGTGACCCAAACAAAGCTCAGTATATCGCGAGCTACAGCTCGCGGTATACCGAGACCGCTGCAACCAGGACAAATCCCGACAATGCTGTCGAGATCCACCCAGCTGCGTGAGTGACAGCTGGCTCTACCTATCTAGAGGCCGATCCAGCTGTGCCCACCCCCTCCCCTGTCCATTTCTCCAGTCAGCGCTGGAGGATCGGAGCGGGGGAATCCCTGCGGGGAGTGGTGACTGATAGTCACGGCTCTCTGCAGGGAGATGATCGAGAAGTGAGCGAGCGATGGTATGCGTTCGCTCACTTACCGATCTATTGAGCTGACATGTGACAGCTTCATTGTCACACGTCGGCTCAAACTATGAGGATGAGTGATCTCCTTTAATTGTGCAAACAAGATTTAAAGCTACCTTACAGGTGAGCTGTTACATGGGTCAAATGGCCCGGCATTAACAGCGATAACTCGTTTTACTTAGTTGCAAATGCAAGAATTATTCAGTGGACGTTAATTGAGATTCTCAATAATGTAGCAGCAAAATTTAGATTTTCCTCTTTACAAGTGTTGTTTCAATATTTCAGATGCCAGAACATTTATTGTTTCGCTAAAGTACATGTTTTTTTATAGTTAAATGATGGAGTGGGGCTAACTACAGAAATCGAGGCTCCATGGGTCTTGGAACCAACAGTGCTCTGCAGGGACTGATATGAAGACTAATAGAAGAATTTCCAGGACCCACAAAGTGTCTGCACTTCAATACAGTTGTTGCCTTAGAAACATTTTGGGCCAGGTCAAGTTCACTTTTCAGCTAACCTCAGACATCAGATTATTGCCATATGTGAAGGTATTATCTGACAGCTGCAAACTTTCTGGACAAATGATCTTTCTATAAACATGCCTACTTGCTCTTGTTGAGTGTAAAGGGGCCCATACACCTTAAACTCATTGAAAGCTCGTACGATCTTCCCATCTTGGACGGGCAGATCATACTTGCGATCATCGAAAGCCCGCCCCGCTGAGGGGCGGGCTTTCCGATGACCGCAGTGAGGGGCGGGCTTCCGATCACTGCAAACGGGCAGTGTGCGCGTGCGCACACCGGCCCGTTCGGCAGTTGTCGAACAAGCAGGCCACTAAACGGGTTTTCAAGCCTGCTTGTTCGACGGAAGACGTGCGAGCGTACAGTAGAAACGGTTGCACGCCTTCCATACACTGTACGATTCTCGTACGATCGTGGGATTTCCCGCGATTCTCGTACGAGAATCGTACAGTGTATGGGCACCTTAAGTGTTTATGTTGATAGGGAAAGCAGAAAGGCCTTTCTAAAGCTTGCCTCAGACCTTACAACCATCGCAAGACTTTTGTCTTGCGATGGTTGTAAGGTAATTTAAAAAAGTACGATCTGCCCATCTTGGACAGGCAGATCGTACTTGCGATAATCGCAAGCCCGCCCCGCTGAGGTCGCACGCCTTCCACACACCTTGCGATAATCGTACGGTCGCGGGATTTCCCGAGATTATCGTATGATAATCCCAAGGTGTATGGGCACCTTTAAGCTGACCATACACCTTACAATTATCTGCAGATTTTCTGTGGTCAGATGGAAAAGGTGCAACAGATTCCTCCATCTACACTTAACTGTGTGGATGGAGTAATCTCCACCTGGGCCAATCTGTTGCACTTTTTCCATATGACCACAGAAAATCTGCAGATAATTGTAAGGTGCATGGGCACCTTAAGAGGCAGCTTAACTTTGGTGAAAACGAAAGATTGGCTGGAAAAAAAATCAACCCAGCCAATTATTTCTTCCTATGGGAAGGATTGGAGAGGGGATGACTGGATGAGTTAGGGATTGATCACAGACATACAATCACTTCTTGATCCGACTATAACTAGCTGAATGGGACAGAGATTATCTGGGCTTCTTTCACAATTCATTATGTCAGGGATAGCCAAACTCCCTCCAGCTGTGGTAAAATTACAAATTCCATCATGCTTTTGCCTCTAAAAGTCATGCCTGTTGCTAGCAGTGTCTTGCAATGACTTATGGGACTTATAGTTCCGCAACAGCTGGAGGGCCGAAGTTTGGCTACCCCTACTTTATGTTATATAGGCTAGGCAGAAAATGGAGTGATAACTTACAAGTAATTATTTAATAGTGAATGACGATCAAAAGGAAAGGGTGAGCTTATAAAGTGTCATATACACTATTAGCTTTTGTAAGAGTTAAGTTTTTATGTCATACGTGTGCTATATCATGATGACTAATCCATTCTGCAAACTGTAATATGTAAACAGATAACTATGATTTAAGAAACACCCACACATTAACAGGATGGTGGTAATGCAGTACAAAGCACATTTAATTGCATAGCAAGGTAAGATGTCTATAGACTAATATACCGGATGACTAGACTGGATGTTGTACAAACTAGATGACTCAATAAGGCAGTGCAAACCGCAGTAAAGTGGAGTAAGGATGGTCACAGGATGATTTTTGTTTTGAAGAGTCAGAAATCATTCTAGTAACTAACATGATTGCTGACAACATCATAATCTGTTGACAACTGTTTTCAAGTTATCCATACAAGCAAAGTAGTGTTAAATGCTCAAAGTTTTTGCAATACAAATCTAGATCAAGCAATTATACATTGCCCAGCAAAGTATTTCTTTACATTTTTGCCCAAGCATTTACAGTCATCATGTTTCCAAACAGATCCAACTCTGTCAGCTCCACATCCCTGAACTTCCTGTCCAGTACAAGATCACAAGGGACAGCACAGGCTACAGCAGCTGTCCATCTACTAGTATTGAGAAAGGGAGAGGTAAAATCAAGGAGCAGAAGAACTGCTAGCCATGCTGGGCCTGGGTGCTTGTGGAGACACACACAGCTTACTAGCACACACAACGTTAACTCTATACTGTATTTCCCTGAAAGGGAAAGGAGTCACCCTAAAACAGGATATCAGGGTCAGCGCTCAGGGGACCAGCTGATTCTGCAAGAAACTAAAACTTTTAAACACCAAGAAGAAGTATACATTGTAAGTGATTTCATCAGCATTTGGAATAGCTTAACACCCTTTTGACTTTAATATCACTTTACGAACTGCTGCTGTTGACCCACAGTGGCACAGTGGCCATTCAGTCACAGAAAGTCCAGATACTGTAGGTTGGAGAATGAAAGTTTGAAATTAATTGCTTGCTGTATTTTTATAAAGACAAGCTGATATATAAGGATAATTCATTAAATAGATCCTGTTACGCAACAACTAATCAGTATGAAACTTCTATAGCTCTCGTTTTATTACAACAAATTTGAAACTGAAAAGTGCCAGCTTATCTCAGGGGAATCAATAGCAAAAGGACAAGGTTTTCTAACCTTACAATCTCTAGGTCTGTAGTAACTGCAGGAGTCTACATATATGAAAATAACAAACGTTAGTGGATTAAAGAACTGCAAGGGTTAATGGCTTGTTTGGTCTAGGGGAGCTCAAATAAGGCAGACTTACTTACCTGATCCCAGCTCCTGCGGCAGTCAGAACTCACCTCTACGGAATGGCCCCCAGCACAGCTAAGGAATGTCCCTCTGCGTCCTTACGTCTAATGCAGGTCAATGGACCTGCATAATACGTAGTGATGCCAGTGGTCCAACCGGAGCCCGGGGGAGAAGAGACTATGGGGACTGGTCAAGCAGCCCAGAGGGAGCCGGTTGGATTGAGGATCAGATAACTTAACCTGCTTTATTCCAGCCCATAACGAGCACTTAACCCTTGTGAAGGGGGGGGTAGCCCCACTGCCAGGGTAAGTTTTTTATTTGCCTGGAGTTCTCCTTTATGTTAACATGTAGTCTAATGTTGATCACTACACCATCAGTTACACCTTGCAAAAGATAAAACAATTTCTGTTTCCAGGTGAATGTGCTTCTCTGTCAGCTTGTACTAATACTTTGCCAGCTGGGAGCGGTTCATGTACATTAGTGCTTAAGAAAAGGTTTACACTGTTTTGCTGTAAAAAATGATTTTTAAGTAAACCAGGACTGTTGTTACAATATTTAAGACAAAATTGTCATGTCATATCTATGGCCACCTTTACCAACTTACCAAATTGGTAAGATATTTGCCCATCTGTGACCAGCCTCTACAACAGATCTTTGATCAACAGCAGTCATTGTTATTTTGCTTATTAGTAGACATGAATGACGGCAAAAAAAATAGTTTTGGATGTTTCCTTATTTCGTTTCACCCTGTGTGCAGATTAAGAAACTGGTTCTGTAACTCTCACAGATTCACCTGTCCTTTCAGGAGGAAAGCTACAGAAGCCTGCGAGGGCTGCTTTGTGATTATAACCCATATGTTAGTATAACCACAGGAGGTTTATAATCGTATGTGTAGGGCTGCATCTAACGATTATTTTCAAAATCAGTTGGCTGATTATTTTTTTGATTACTCGATTAATTGGATTAAAAAAAAATGAATACCCAAATGGAGTGTTACAAACAAACATTTTACTTACTCCTCATAGTGAAGTATATCCCAAACGTTTATTGATAAAACAAAAGTAAAAACTCACATGTAAATGTAAAACCGGCCGGTATCCCACGAGCTCCCATGCTCACTTCCGCATTAGCTGTGATGTCAGATAGGCCCGCCCCGATGCGTTTCGTCACTTAGGACGTTCTCAAGGGAATAGTAGGTCAATGCGGAAGTGAGCACGGGAGCTCGTGGGATAACGGCCGGTTTTATATTTACATGTGTGTTTTTACTTTTGTTTTATTAATAAATGTTTGGGATATACTTCACTATGAGGAGTTCCTTTTGATTTTTTTACTATATGTGAAACATCATCCGTTAAACATTTGGGAGGAAACACTGAGAACTTTCTGATCCAATACCAACTTCAGGTTACCTGCAGAGTGTAAAACGATATATATGCGGTGAGAGCGCATTGCCCGGGGGGCTTCATGTGCAACACTGGGAGGATCACGAAAAACCAGCACTTTATATGTTTTGGATTTGAAGGACGAATTATGAAGTTATATTGACATTATCACATTTTTTTTGCAGAAATATAGTTTATTGAAAATTTTCAGACATACAAGAGATTGTAACAACAGACAAAGGCAGCGTCAAATGTACATCTTTGAGGATAATAGGATAACCCTAAATAATAACAACCGTATCTACAGTACATGTGTTAATGTGCCCGAGTCCTAGCCACACCTAGGCCCAAATGTTCTCGACCCTGCCCTGAGGGCCGCAAACGGCTAAAGCCCACCCCAGTGGGGGGAACCTCGTTATGGAGGTGGGCGAGGACCTGGGACTGTAGCCTCAGGCGATAACCAGAAATCATGCGAAAGTCATGTTCCATTAACCTCCAGGTAAGTCAATTCACCTAGAGCCACCTTACAAAAAACAACATAACAATAGACTCACAACCAGACTAGACAAGCAGACACCAGAAGGACACAGAGACAATGAAATACAAGGAAAAAAGAGAGAGAGGAGGGGGGGTGGGGGGGGGGGGAGAAGGGTTATTACGCGGTCAAGGAGAACAGATTTTGTATCTATGCCATTGTTCTAAACTCATCCGTTTCCATAAACATTGGCCAGGGCCTCCATCTAGACAGGAAGGTCTCAGACCTGTCAAGCCTCTCAGCAATCAGCTCTTCAGATCTCATTAAGCGGCACATTTCCGTGGACTATTCCCCTAAGGTAGGAACCACCTGGGAGTTCCAGTGCCTAGGGATCAGTGCCCTAGCAGCAGACATTATCACATTTATCACTTTATGAAGTTTTCCCACTGGTTATATATATATATAAAGTCACTATTTTTCACTGTGTTAATTTATATCTGGATGTATATATATCCAGTCCTTGGTCACATTAATTACATTATTCATAGTTTATATGTTGTTTGTGGTACACTATATATATTTTTCCACCACTAATTTGCACAATTTTTTAGGATATTTTGAAAGTTATATTGTTTTGCAATTAATATTAGCTACACCAGGGTATTTAGCGCCGCACAATCGTTATTTATATTGCTCCCAGCCGCTGGATGGGAGACTTGATGCCGTCTTTCTACTGCCGGCAGAAGAGAGGGCACGAGGCAGCAGCAGTTTCAACTAATCGAATCAACTAATCGATAATGATCATTATCGATTATCACCAAAGGGTTGTTGTAGCCGAAGCGAGCAGAAGGATTAGCCAAACGTTTGGCTACATCCTTCGGCTCTTTAGTGAATAACCCCCTATATGTAATGATAACCTCTCCCCTGCTGTTTGTTGACATACCTGAGAGCTTTTCTGCTTGTCCTATATACAGTATGTATAGGTGGTTGTGACACACTAACAGGAGGATGCCTGCCATTTTACTCAACCAGAGCACTGCACAATGACATATAAAGCTTGTTTGCTTCCACTGCCTTCCTAACAGGGGTTCCTAAAAGCCTGAACTTGCATACCAACACTCAGGTCTCTGTGCCCCAGCATTGCACTGTACATGCTCAACACTAACCTAAGCACACAACACAGGACCTAAAGCACACAAATAGTTACCCTACACACAACTCACACCAGCAAAGTGTGTGCACGTGTTTATGTCTCCAGCCTAGTAAGGGGTTTGGGACTGGGCCCACAGTTCTCACTCTGCTTGCATTGGGCCACTGAACAGTCACATCTATACTTGGACAAGAAGCAATGACTTATAAAATGTGTGAGAGTTTTAAAACGTTGCATGATTAACATCCAAATCATCTCAGTATTAGTATGATCTGTGAAATTAAAAACACACATGAAGGAAGGAAACAACGTTTCCAAAGTCTGTTACATATAAATGTGAACTGTACCAGCAGTTCTAATAGAGTTAATATAATCACTGCACACTCCTGATTCATTTGATTTAATACTGTACACCATAACAAGCAATATGCAGTCGAGCTCAAGGAGCATTTGTTGCCAGGGCACCAGACGTATTTTTGTTCTGACAAACACCTTATTACTGTTTGGCCTTGATGCAGTCCCTAGACCTTTCCAGGGATATGCCTGACTTTATTGCAAATTGGTTTACTTGTATTTGCGTTATTAGAATATGAGAGTTACAAATCTTGTACTTTTAATGAAGTATATGATTCACAAGTTGTTGTTTTTTTGGAATAGCTTTCTCCCTGGTTTTCGGCAATATTGATCTTTTTCTGAGAAAAAAAATCTATCTATTAAAAAAAGAGACTGAAATATAATCAGAAACCGGACATGGAGATTGCAGTTCAAACCTGCAGGATGCTTCTTGTGATAATGAATTGAGCCCACGTTTAAGAAAAAAAAGAGTCTTTATCTGTAATTAACGGAAACTTGTGCAGAAGGGATATGTAGACTGCAATTGCAGATGTCTTGTAAAAATGCTACAAGTGAAACAAATGGCAAACGTACATGCTTTAAAGCTAGCTAGGAATTGATTAGTGCGTGTGCTATTTTGTTTCACTTGTTGGATTTGGTGTGGGGACACACTGGGGCTTTCAGATGCCATTGTGATGTGCTGGGCGGTGTCTGGTGTGTCTTGAAGGAGGCTGGGCTACCTCCTGGCAAACCTGCACCCAATTCATCCTTTTGTTATAAATGTTCCAAGATGGAGCCTCTCATAGATTAGAGTTATGTTCTTTGTTTCAGGTTGGTGACTCACTGTATAGAGACAAACAGGTAACTCACATTTTAAAGGATGAGTGCACTTTGCCCCACACCCGACTTAGCAATCCAGCCCTCCTTCTCTACAGATTTGTACTTACTGAAATCTGACACGCACCCTTCTGCTATTGTTTACATCCAGTGCCACACTGCTCCCTCTGCTGGCTGCACATTACAGCCCCATAGATTTTTATGGTGTTGACTCTCAACCGGGAGACGTACACAGGCAGGAAAGGGAGACTTGCAGTGCTAAGGGCCCGTTCACACCATCTCCAGTGCATTCCAGCATGGTAAGCTGCTGGAACGCATACTGTTCGGCTCCCTGCATTCGAGGGCGTGGCTGTGTATTCAAGTCAATGGCACTGCAGCCCCCCCCCCCGCAGTACGATCACCCGCACCAGAACGCGTGTCACAGCAATGCCCCCGTTCCAGTCCAGTGCGATTGCAAAAAATAGTGCTTGTACTGCTGGAACGCACTGGAGATGGTGTGAACGTGTCCTCAATGTCAGCAAATAGCGGAGCAACAGCCCTCAGATCTTGGTAAATATCGATCTGTAGAGGGCAAGGGTGGGGTCATTTAGGTCAGGGGAGGGGGCAAAAAGAGTGCACTTATTCTTTAAGTAGCTTAGCAATAGCAGCTTATATGTATATATCAGTAGATTTGTACTGGTAGTGGTTTAATTACCCGATGCTCTAAGTAAATACATTTTATGCCATTACATCACTTCTACAGGAGATATTTCTGTGTGGATTTCTCAAAAATGAGAATATGTAAGTGTAAGTGAAGTAGCCCATTGTAACCAATCATACGTCATTTCTCAGTGTAGTTAAATCTAAAGTCGGATTGATGCCTCGTTCATTTTGCACTGTCAAAAACTTAAGAAAAATAATGTTGTCCTTTAAATAATGGTGTCTTCACAGCTACACAGTTGTCTTAGTATAGTGAAACTTACCTGCTTGCACTTGCATAAATTTCCTCATTGCTTTGAGCTCCTGTAGGATGGCCTGCAGAGTAGGTTGACAGTTACACGTGCAACACTTTGTCTCTGTCGCAGAATTCACCAATGGTAAATCACCTGTAAAGAGTTAATATGTCAGTCATTCTGCTGGATTGGGTTAAATGCTTTTAAATCTTTAAAGCAAAAGTCCAGGAAAAATAATTTACACATCGCAGTGATTGTGCAACATATCACAAAAAAAAGCTGTGTGTTATGTGGGGTGGGCCATTGCAGAGTATATAAATCTTAATTTGCAGCATGCCGGCTCCTACACATAACACCGAGCTTTCAGGCTCTAAGGGGGGTGAGGGATGTGAATCGATCAGTGAGGTGTTCAAGTCGCATTTCTGCCCCTCTTTACTACTTGCCCATACATAAAATGCCTTGTATTTTCTCAAAGAATGCAAGGCGTTCTGTGTTTGGATGAGTAGAGATGATGTCACATCCCTGCCCCCTCCTTTCTAATCACAGAACGCCTTGTATTATTTTATCCTTCACTTCCAGCAGTGCCCGGAAGTGGTATGTGAGGGAGCCAGCATGGTGCAAAGTAAGACTTTTATCATTTTGCAAACCCAGTGCAGAATTTGCCTTTACATGTGAGCACCAGAAAATATATCTAAGAGGTGAGTAGGATTGATGTGTCAAATGTCAATTACACTTACCTCTGTGCTGTCCTCCTACCCTAAGATCCAGCTGTCCTAGAACTGTTACCGGAAAGCATCAGTACCATTAGCTCAATGTTTCTGCTCCGTGTGCTTTCCACTTCCGTTACCTGCTTTTTTCTAAATGGACATATTACTACAATGGTGGCCACATAAACTTCTATTTGCGTCAATTATTTATATTTACAAAACAGCAGGGACACAAAGTATGTATCTGGGAAAGGACAGCATGGAGGTAAGTGTATTTAACAGGTTACCTCCCTCTGTACTTTTTAGATATTATTGCTGGAGCTCTCCTTCAAGGGTGTGTAACATAAGTATGATTATTAATTATGGACATTCTCTTTGTGCTCCTATATAACCCCAGGTGCAGCCCTTCATCTGCTGCTATCTGGAACTCTCTGTAAAGTCTACGGTATATGTTTGGAGCAGCCTGTGCTGGCAACTTCACAAAAAGTGATAGGAAATAGGATGTATTATGCTGGACGCAAATACTGCTGGTATCCTGTGAATTCCTGATGAAGACCCGTGCCAACAAAGGATCTATATATTCAAGGCAACAACGAACATCAGAGAACTGTTTTTTTTTAAACTTTTTTTATACAGGAGCCTTCTGCAGACTATGAATACCTCAGATGTGTATTATATGACATGTTTTCCAAATGTAAATTACTTCTATTTGCACTGCAACCACACTTTTCGTACAGGTATCCAAGCCATACGCATAAACTGGAACAACCTGAAAACCTTTACCAAAATGGGGTTTGTGATCATAATAAAAGTGCCCGCTGTAAGGTAAATTCACAGCATAAAATAATTATAGGTCTCTTATAAATACCACGTTCTTCTGAGAAGCTGTCTGATGGCAATATTTGCCTTTTGTTTCTACATTTTTTTGGTTCCCTTGCCCTTTCCACTTTATGTTTACTGTACTATATATGTTTAATTTTTCTTATTAGATATAGAACAAAGTTTCACTTCTTCAAGTTCAGCATTTTTACTATAGTATCATTGACACGTAGCTAGTTGTTTAGTAATTAGTAATTCAGTAAAAGTACTTTGTGTTACATTACATTCTGCAAGGCTTGACAAGTGAATGGATAAATCAATATGACTAAACTGCCATTATTTAAATTATGTTAATAACGAGTAGGATTGTTCTCAGGCTGGAATAAAATGACTTGTGGCTCATCATTATTTTGCTAGGTAAGGTGCATGGCTGCACTGTACGTGTATATGATGTGCAACTGGTGAGTACCCAGTTTAATATACAATGTATAGAAGTCCCATTCTTAAAAATAAAGTGCAGGTTTTCTATTTAATAGCAAGAGAATCTGAATTTTAGAAATACTTATGGAAATTGATTTTTCCTAACATTCAACAAAATACATGACAGCACAGCAGGAAATCACTCATAGGACAAAGGACATCTTTATTCAGTACAAAAGAGGTAGGATCACAGTCCCTCTGATGTGTTTCAACCCAGCTGGGTCCTAATCATAGCAGATTAAAAAAAATTGATTAAATAGCTAAACATGCTGATATACCTACTTCATTTTTTTTTTTACATATCAGCATTTCTGGTTTGTACATATTACTCCATGAAATGATGATCTGATTTATTCCACAAAATGCAGCATATTCTGCCTTTGTAAGGATAAACATTAACGGCTAAGTTTACGATTCTGACCTTGTTTCATGCCATATCTACAGTATATTTAGGGTGTAACATGAAACATGGCCACATCCGCTGACCCCCAACCAGCCCCCCACATTCACCTGAATCATGAGGTTTTACATCCTGCAGGCTGCTGCTTTACATTTGGTGTGGCTGTGCATGGCTCCACCTGCACAGCTACGACATCCATTCACAGATCATTTAAAAGGATCTGTAAAATCGAGAGACTACAAGTCCCGTCTGCAACCGATGCAGAGGGACTTCTGGTTCTGAATGGAATACAAGTAGGGTGATGCCACTGCATTTGTAGCCCATTCATATTTCCTCGTGACCCTTAGCAGAAAGCCCGTACCTCAGTATGGAAAGGGACTTCACCCTAGAAGAATGGTCTGCAAGAACAAGAACATTGCACCCGTGATCCACTAATTGTGGTTGCAATGCTTCACATGCTCCAATGCAAAAAAAATTATAAATGGATATATTTTCTTTTATGAATGTGTGTGCATTTATTTTAATTTTTTTTTTTTTATTTGACTTTGCTTTTACACATTTCCCACTCTTCAACACAACACAGCAAATCATTGATTTTAAAAGCAAGGTAACAACACTGGTAAAATGCAGCACAGCATGGCAGCGTGTACCTTCATTTACAAAATGGTCTCCAAAACCGGCCCCTGTTCAGTCTTATACAGTACCTCCCAAACAAGGTAGCACTTTAAAATGAAGGCCCTTACCTTTCTCCTGGCAACTGAGGTGTTCCAGGGGAGAGGATAAAGGTCTTGACTGCAGAGTGTTCCAGGTTGGTTAAAAAACAAAAACTAACAGGGTTATTCACAAAAGTGTGAAGAGTTTGGAGAAGACAGGAGAAGTTACCAATTTACTCCAACATAGCGGATTTGGCCTAGATTGTTCACTTCTCCTGCCTTCTCCAAACTCTTGACCCTTTTGTGTATAGCCCTGTAAATGTTACAAAGACCTTTTGCAATGGCTGGATTTTGGCAACCCTTTGTCTACTTTTGTAAAGACATTTTCAAGATTGTTTCAAGATTGTTACATGATTGTTACATGTTAGCTATATTCACATTATATTTTAAAAGACAGGGACAAGTGCAGTTTTAAGCGATGGATTCTTGTTTAGCTTTAAACTCCACTAGGCAGTATTTGCCTTTAAATGGTACATATAAAAAGTACAAGAGTATTGTACTGTATAGCCATTGATTTGGAGTATAAGGGAGACCCTTTGTTGCCTAACTTAATTTATTAAAGATGCAAGCTTTCGGGATGCCTTAGATTCCTTCTTTGGTCTATATACAATTCTGAAATTGGTCCTACAACCCACATGTTTAAACCCACTTACAAGGAGGAGCACTGAAATATGAATATATTAAAAATACAACTATTTTTTCTTGACACACTTTAATGGTAAATGCTATTGTAAGAGATAAGATATCAATCTTTAGAAGTGTTATTGGGGTAATTGACTAAGAAATAAGTATTGGAAGTACAATTCTCACCTCAAGGAGAGTCCTTTCGAAAGGGTGATAAGTTATATGTAAACCTTGACTTTTTAAAAGCTGTTGGTAAGCACAGCTACTATTACAACTCTACACTACAGGGCTCTCTGACTTTACATGCCATCTTTCAAGCCTGCTTTAAATACAGTACATCCACTGGTACTTTGGTGTCCAAGACTTATAAGTGGATTATGGTAGCTGAATAAGCAGCCACTACTACAGTGGAGTTCAAAAGGATAAGGTACGATGATAGGCAGAGACAGGCCAGATGTAAGGACTTGGGGGGGCTTGGAAATAGAGTTTAGGGATCAAAGGAAAATGAGGTATAGTCAGGTGTTGCAGAAGTCAGGGAAGGCAGTGGATGATCATAAAACAAGTGTCTTGTAAGGGTTGGATGAACAAGCGGTGAAGAACTATCGAGAGAAAGACGTTGTCCTCAAAACAGATGGCGACTCTATAATGAGTACCAGTCAAAGGTTAGGTCCCCTTAAATAGGCCAAATAACCAATCAGTGCTGTGAGCAGTAGCGTATATACTTTACTATGGGCTAAAATGCCTGTGTGGACCAAAATACAAGGTACAGCTGAGGGTCTAATTCACCCCACACAGGCAGGAGCAGGTGGATAGAGGTAAGTACCTTACACCTATCCTCTCCCAACTTCCGAGTCTACCTGTAAGAAGCCTACCTCGTTACGTCCCGGGATCACGATTCGGGACCGCGTCCAATTGGTAACAGAGGATATGATCACATTGAAATAATTGTCTTCTAATGTGTTTGAGTATCTCATACCTACTCCTTCGAGTTTTTCCACTGAATGGCAGAAAAGGGTTTACTGCAATCATAGATTATAATGTTATGTGAATATAAACATAAATACCATCCTTAGAACTGCACCGCCCAAGTGTTCAAGATTGTAGTGATTGCAGTAATCCTGTGTATCTGGTGAGCACTGCTTAAAGAGTTTATATAGCTTATGTGGATTCAGACATGTCTGCATGCATGTAGAAAAACAAACAAGAATTTAAAAAGCTTCAAATGTCTGATTATACATCCATTTAAGATCCCTTAAAGCATTACATACCATTAGATCCAGGATTTTTCACATGATTCTGCACACTCTTAGAGCGAGTTCCATACTGCCCTGAAAACTCGCTGGCTTGAATTGGCATGTTATTCCATGGAGCTTGTGCTGGATGAATGGGATCATCAGCAGCACATGGAGGGCTCAAACTCCCAGTCCAGCTCATATCCAAGTCGTGACGCTCCTCCTTAAGTTTCTCCCCTTCTTTGATGACACGCTGGTAAACCCGCACAGTGCTGTCATTCAGCAATCTCCTCATGCCAGTGATCTGTTTCTTGATTTCCATACCTTCATCCCCTGTGTAAATAACAAGAAAGATTAGACAATCTTTGGTACCCATGCCAACCATCCCCTGCAAGGATCATCTTTTTTACACAGAGCATTTTCTGTGGACAGGACCATGGTATGGAATTATAGCAAGGGGTGTCCAAGACATATTAGAAGCCAAGGCCTAATCACAGTTTCAGTGAACTTTTTTTAAACAAAGAGCCTTAAAGCCGTCTCTAACCCACCATTTTTATATTTTTTCCTTTTATATTTGGTAATGGTAATGATCATTTTCCTTTTATACTTGGTGATGGTAATGATGAGCACATACTTAACAATCTGAAAGTTCTTTATTTTAAAGTGACACTAAACTCAGGAGTTAAATCTTAAAAATGCTTTCAATTACCTTCACTATTAACAAAAATGTATCTTATTTGTGCATCACTCGGCTGTAGATCCTCAAATCATCTTTGAATCGGGGCTGACATTGTCCTTCCTTCTAGACGGTGGCTACTTTTGTTCCCCATGGTCCGTGCATGTGTTGTAAAGTAGCCACCGCTCCAAGCTTTCTCCCATGATGGACTACAATCTCATGTTTAGTTTACTAATTTGTATTGACATTGTAGTCCATGATAGGACTGAGCTTGGAGTGGTGGCTACTTTACAACACATGCACGGACCATGGGGAACAAAAGTAGCCACCGTCTAGAAGGAAGGACAATGTCAGCCCCGATTCAAAGATGATTTGAGGATCTACAGCCGAGTGATGCACAAATAAGATACATAGTTACATAGTATTTGAGGTTGAATAAAGACCTATTTTTTAGGTCCATGTATCATCTCATTCTTAAGAGTACCTGTACCCCTGTATATTACAGTCTCTCAGGAAATCATTCAAATGCTTCTTGAATTTTTCCACACTCTTAGCCGAAATCACTGCCTCTGGCAGCGAGTTCCAGACCCTAACCGCTCTAACTGTGAAGAACTCCCTTCGCCCCTTGTGCTGGAATTTGTTTTCCACCAATTTTAGGTGGTGGCATCTAATCTTTGTTACGGAGTTAATCGTAAAGAGTTTGTTGCTAATGTTGCTGTCACCATTGAACATTTTATACATGAAAATCATATCCCCCCTTAATCTTCTTACTTCCAACGGGAACATGTTTAAATTCAGTAGCCGTGTCTCATAGCTCTGGTCCCCCATTACCCTAATTAATTTGGTTGACCTCTGCTGGACTCTTTCCAGCTCAAGGACATCCTTTCTGTGGACTGATGACTAAAACTGGACCGCATGCTCCAGATGAGGCCGAACCAGTGATCTATAAAGTGGCACAATTATAGACCTGTCTCTGCAATAAATCCCCTTCTTAATACAGGACAGGACTCTACCTGCTTTGCTTACAGCAGACTGGCACTGCAAGCTATTTTTCAATCTGTGGTCTAAAATTACCCCCAAAACTTTTTCTATTTCTGACTTCCCTAGTGGCATACCCATAATTGTATAGCCCATTTGCTTATTTTAATCCCGAAGAGCATTACTTTGCATTTATCGACATTAAACCTCATCTGCAATATATTTGCCCACTCAACTATTATATCCAGGTCCTCCTGTAATGTTATACTCTCTAGGTCCGTTTCTAGACCTAGACACTATTAACAGATACATTTCTGTTAATAGTGAAGGTAATTGAAAGCATTTTTAAGATTTAACTCCTGAGTTTAGTGTCACTTTAAAATAAAGAACTTTCAGGTTGTTAAGTATGTGCTCATCATTACCATCACTCAAAAAATCCCTCCCAACAGAGTAAACTGAACAGCAAAAATGTAACAAATCAAACACCACTACAAGAAATACACCACATTAACATTGTGGGCTTAGTCGCTTTTAACACATATGTGTCTGTAAACATTTTATACTAATTTTTGCGGGATAGCTGACCATAAAGAAATACATTTTTAATAGGCGGCAAGAGTCTTATCTATTGCACATATGACACTCTGATAAAATAACCAGATATGTTGCCTCCCTCCCTTTATAAAGTGCTGAGCAAACTTTTGGTGCTATATAAATCCTGCATAATAATAATAAACATTTGCTTATTCAAAAAGACAGAAGAGCCATGTTGATGAGCATACTGCAATAACCCATAGCAACAAATCAGAAATCATGTCTTAAAATTGATTAAACTACAATGAACTGACATCTTACAACAGGGTCACTGCCCAATGCACATCATAAATGCATACATGTATTAATGAATAGCAATATGTATGCATACAGACAAACTGTGGTAAGAGCCGGGTTCACAACCCCTAAAGTTGTTTATGTGATTTATAGAAACACAATGCAAAACCAGTACTGATGAACTGTTACAGTATATATAATGATATATTTTACATAAACTAATAAATTAAATGTGCTTTGTGAACTGTATCAGTGCATAAGCAGAAGTGTCTGCTAGTCCCTTGTGAGTTTCAGTGTTCTGATTGCCATTTGAGTTTGATTCATACATACAGTAGTATGTTTGTCTATCTGCTGCTTTCCCAGAACATCCATTTGGTTTCTGAAAACAAGTACTGATGAACTTATTATAGGTAAAATTATAGGTAATCATTACTGGTCAGCATTATGTTGTATGCGGTATAGTGCAGTCATGTCAAAATGACTAGCTAATAAAACAGATGTGAAATGACATCCAATAGAAGGGGAATCAATTTTTATGCGATAATATTTCCATTAAGATAAGCTTCTTCCATATACATTTCTGCATTTCCTTTTCCACATATCTGTCAGTAATGACTACTCATAAATGAAACTTCTAATATTGATATGCTCTAAAAGTACATAGTGTTAAAAATAATAACAAAGCTGATGAACAGCTTTGATTAGAGTACCCCATTGTCTGGGGCTGGTCCATTACAGCCCAGAAAAACGAGGACATGGCTATTATGAATCCAGTGACTTTACTGCAGACCTTAGGAAAGTGAAATCCTACTACAGAATTTGAAATAGAATACTAATGCAAGCTAGTTATGATAGGCAAAGAGTGCCCTACCTTTTCAGTTCAAAATAATAAAGTCATTTAAGGTAATACCTTTCATGGTGAACTATTCAATCACAAATATTAATGGAAAATTGTCAGACAAAAGAGCCTAGTGGGTTGAATGTTTTTTCAACTCCAAGCTTATTTAGTCTGTTAAAAGAGTTCTGTAACATGCTTATATGTACATATGTCACAGTGTCTTCAATTCAAGCTCAAGAGTATAATATATTACATTTGAAATTGCAAAAGACATACACATATCTTTACAGATCAGAGTGAGGCAACCTCATCAGTCTTGCAATGCATTATGGAATTCGCAGTTTTAGCACAGCCGAAGTGCTGAGATTGCCTACCCCTGCTATAGATCAAGCTTAAGGCAAGATAGAGTAAGTAAGAGACTAGTGTTTTAAAACATAGAAAATACAGCAAACAATGTTAACATAAATACTATGGGGGGAATTTATGAACATTGGAACAGACAGAATCTGGAGCAGCCAATCAGTGTCTCTCTCTCATTTCCAAAGCTTAACTGAACAAACTGAAGAGAGAAGCTGATTGGTCACTATGGGCAACTGCTCCAGATTCTGTCTGCTCCAGTTTTGATACATTTCCCCTAATGTGCTTAGCATACTACATAAATGTACCTCAGCATTATCAGATTATAATAGAATTGTTTTCTCACTCTCTCTTTTACAATTGTGAGTTGTAGGGTTTTCATTATAGCTAGTCCCCCCTAATTGCTGGGCAGGGTATCTGCAGAGTTAGGACCACACCTTGCAGAGGTGTCTTGGCGCGGCGGTGTGGCTTCTACATATTTTTGGCCAAAAGTTTGTGCAACTAAAACCTCTGATTTTAACGCATAGTGTTGACAGGGCAATTTGTTTGGTTGCAGGCTGGCTGGCAGGTGAGCTGGGGATTTTCTGTGTTTTGTATCATACTACATAAATGTACCTCAGCATTATCAGATTATAATAGAATTGTTTTCTCACTCTCTCTTTTACAATTGTGAGTTGTAGGGTTCTCATTATAGCTAGTCCCCCCTAATTGCTGGGTAGGGTATCTGCATCAATTGAAGGGTTAGGAAATGTCTGCAAAAGGTGATTCCTCAAAATGTTCTCCCAAGGCTGCCAGACTTCCTGAAAAGCCTCTAGCAAGCCTAATAGTGTATTCAGGATACCTTCATTAATATAGATATTGGAAAGATTAGTGTAGACCAGGGGTCTCAGTTCTCTTGGGGGCTTCTGGAAATGTTCTTCTCCCATGGGGGCCACATACAAATTTTATAAAATGTCACATTACAAAATAAAATGTAACTATATACGGTACCGGTGTAAATGTCTGCGTGTGTTTATAATGTCAGTATATGTGTTTGTGATGGTTTCTTTGTATGCCATGTCAGTATATTTTTTTGTTATGTGTGTGTGTATTGTCAGAATTTCTGTGAGTGATGTTGGTATGTGTGTTAAAGTTCCTGTGTGTCATATCAGTATGTATACATGTGTATATGTGCGCAGTGTCAGTATATTTGTGTTTTTTCCCCACAAGTTTTAATTTTAATCATAGAGGACAAACAGATTCACACATTCATTCACACACAGAAATACGCACGCAGAGAAATACACACACAAAAATACGCACACACCCCCCCACACAGAAATACGCACACAGAGAAATACACACACAAAAATACGCACACACCCCCACACACAGAAATATGCACACAGACAGAAATACGCACACACGCACAAATACGCACACACCCCCACACATAGAAATATGCACACAGACAGAAATACGCACACACGCACAAATACGCACACACCCCCACACATAGAAATATGCACACAGACAGAAATACGCACACACGCACAAATACGCACACACCCCCACACATAGAAATATGCACATAGACAGAAATACGCACACACAGAAGTAAGCACACACACAGAAATATGCACACAGACAGAAATATGCACACACACCCACACG